GTACCGACACTCTTTTCAACATATAATAGTTTTAATATTTTAACACAGTGACGCATTTAGGATAATCATATCGAAACTACTATAACAGCTGGTTAAACAACGCGAAAGGAGTTTTGTTAATTTTCTTTAAATACCTTATATCAGATGAAGTAGAATAATCTATTACTGAGAGTGATTATAAAAGATGATCGGTTTTATATAGGTTACCATACGCTGCTGGACAGTGTTATTAGGACCCTAACTCCTTGTGCAAGGTTCCATTAATTTTAATAAATACCAAAATGCAGTAATATCACCGTTAATATGGTAATATCACTGTTTTTATATATATTTTGTTTTTGTTTTTGAACAGCATAGTTATCATTAATAATCTATCTGACTGCCATTCAACAGCGTCAATCAACAATTACGATCGAAAACGTAACCGTCTGTCGCTAGATAAAAAACTGCTGTCGTCGCCTGCTGATGAGCCAATTGAACATTCCTGTAAAGTGCATAAGACATCAGATTGTCTCAACTTACCGCCTGCTGATGAGCCAATTGAACATTCCTGTAAAGTGCATAAGACATCAGATTGTCTCAACTTACCGCCTGCTGATGAGCCAATTGAACATTCCTGTAAAGTGCATAAGACATCAGATTGTCTCAACTTACCGTTATTATCAAAACTCGTTTGGATTGGACCATCACTGATCATACCACGTAATGAACATTTAATTTAGAACAGCCGTCGTACGGCAACCAACAACTAAGAGAAAGTGACGCTTGGAGGGCACAAGATGATGGAGGTGATGTAATGGAATACCAGCTGTTGGGGGATGTAATAATATATCAGTTGCTGGAGGTGATGTAATGATATACCATTTGCTGGAGGTGATGTAATGATATATCAGCTGCTAGAAATAATGTAATGATATACCATCTGCTGTTGGGGGATGTAATAATATATCAGCTGCTGGAGGTGATGTAATGATATACCATTTGCTGGAGGTGATGTAATGATATACCATTTGCTGGAGGTGATGTAATGATATATCAGTTGCTGGAGGTGATGTAATGATATACCATTTGTTGGAGGTGATGTAATGATATATCAGCTACTAGAAATAATGTAATAATATACCATCTGCTGGAGGTGATGTAATGATATGCCATCTGCAGGGGTGATGTAATGATATATCAGCTGCTAGAGGTGATGTAATGATATACCATCTGCTGGAGGTGATGTAATGATATACTATCTGCTGGAGGTGATGTAATGATATAGCATCTGCTGGATGGACGTAACGATATACCATCTGCTGGAGGTGATGTAATGATATACCAACTGCTAGAGGTGATGTAATGATACATCAGCTGATAGGGATGATGCAATGATATAACATTTGATGGATGTTATGTAATGATGTTCTCGTGGTAGGGTTTGCTTTATTGTATTCCTTTCGAATAACATCAATAGTTCGCCTAAACGATGATGTTGATCCTGATGGTCAAAAGCTCTTCAAAGACAATAACACAACAATTCGCTGCACACTTACTGTCCGAAATCGGTTCGCTTTCGCCAACCTCTGCCGACACAGTAAAACAGTCACAAACCAAACTCCACGACACTTTCCAGTACCTTGTGGTCAGTCAGTGTATCTATTTAGCTGTCAATTTGTCGTCTCGGTGTCACTATTGTAAGTTGTGTTTCTTCATGTTATATGATAACATTGTACCTTCTGAAGAAAAACGAAGAAACGACATGAAAAAAATCTACCACATTTCTCCGCATTACAAAGATAAATGAATGATGACGAACTCTATAATAACTTACTTTTTCTTCACTACTCTGTTTATCGAACCGTAGCCAATATTCTTACACGCCGACAAATTACATTTCTTATCCAAGAAGAATCACCTGCCTTTTCAGTTTCGTATTTTTTGGAAAACTCTCTGCTAAGCTATAATTCATCGTCTCTTTGTAACTAGGACGTGTCGGCAGTGTGTTTATTTCTACTGTTTTTGTTTACATCATGACGCTATTTTAAATGTCTAAAGATACAATAAAACAATGGAACAATGGAGAGGTATCAAGTATTAACCAATGAAGCTAGCCAATATTTGTTGGTCATAATATTCTGTGTTTAGTCTAATGTTATCCTCTACTCTATTCAAATGTAATATCTCGCGATTATTCTATTATGTATAACATGTTTATGCTTAACTCTGATATATTACCATGTGGTTATTCTAATTTGATAATCTCGGTTTACTCTTTTTTTTAAGACTGATACGTTAAGAAAAACTTTAAGTTGAAATCTGGGGGAAATGCTTTATTTGATTATAACACTCTGTGAATCCAGTAAGTGATTGGTTCAAAAAAAGACGGCCAGATCACTTGCTCAGAGTGGGTTAACTTATGTATATCTCGATACCTAAAGCTTTGTTATAGTTACAGAATAGTGAAAAAATGACACACTAATGGAGATAAAGTCATTTTGTTTTTAAATAGTTATAAATATAGTAATGACTCCTTGCGACCGACAGTTTGAGAGCCGTTTTTCTAGGTCAAATCTAGTGACGAAAAAAGGAATAAATTTCAGTATTTTCACACATGCTAAACATTTATCTTAAACTTCATGTTATAATACGATAGGAGAAATAAGGAAGCGTAAAACACTGTTTCAAAAAATGTTTCTAAACATACGCTTTTGATTTTCCTGACAGATAAAAAATACAAAAAAATTCAGTCTCATTAAAAACAATCTATCAATCTTATTATAATATACTTCTAAAATACAAATCAAACCTCTTTGGGGGTCAAGTAATGAAACTTTGGTATATATTCTTAATCTAATCTTATTATCTCTTCATGATTATAACCATACCCTTTGATTATCTAGAACGGTTACCACCCTTACTATAAAGATAAAGAGACATACATGTATATGACTCTTGGATTATCTGAAACAATTAACACCCGTACTAACAATATATTAAACAGACGTATATGACTCTTTGATTATCTGAAACAATTAACACCCGTACTAACAATATATTAAACAGACGTATATGACTCTTTGATTATCTGAAACAATTAACACCCGTACTAACAATATATTAAACAAACGTATATGACTCTTTGATTATCTGA